CAAATGAAAAAGACATCAGTATTTGTTCAGCGAGTGTTTTCTTAGATTTAGATGTATTTTTTCTGCATATTTTTACCAAATGGTAGGCAGTAGAAACACGATTATTAGAATGAATAATGCAATAGCAGATCTGTAACAAAAAAATGTGTATTCAGGGGCAATTGGGATATAAGTAGCCTTTAAAAATATTTCTTCAAGTGAGATTTTTCAACTTACATGAAAAATATATCTAAGCCATCAACATCCAATTTATACGGTTGTTGGCACATATGATCACACCGACTTGGAAAGATATATTTACTCCTGGTATAACGAAGCCAGTGCTTCCCAAAACACCTTGCATGAATTGTGCGGTGTCGACAGCGTACATGATGATGGAATGCATATGGCCCAGTGTAATGTTACATCACCATTCTGTAAGAGAAATTATAAATAAATATTTAAAAATAAAATATATATTATTAAGAAATAAAAATTGGCTAATAGTTTAATTAAACGGGAATGAATAAAAATTGGTAAAATATCGGATGGAGGCGCCGGGCATCGATCCCGGTACCTCTCGCATGCTAAGGCGAGCGCTCTACCATCTGAGCTACGCCCCCTGATAAAAGTTTAGGATACCTGGGCCGAAAGATCTTTGAATCTTTGTACTACTACTGTTATTAAATAATTTAAATTTAATTTATGTATAATAGCAATTAAATATATTAAATAATTTAAATTCAGTATTTGAAAGATAGATATTTAATTTAATTTTTATAATTGTTTATTTCGAATAATTAATATATGTTTTAAATTAATTAACATCCAATGCATCAAAATAAATTTGTTTTTGTTATCTCATAGTTCATAAATATTAATTTTATGTCTAAGCATTGGCTGTTAATTATTTCAAATATCTTCAATTTAAGGGAATCATTTGCTTATGGCTCTCCCACCATGGACCTGCCTTCGGGCAGAGTACCATTTATTATTTATTATTATTATCTTCAAATTTCATATGCAAATCTATGGGAGTCCAATGATCAATCGGACTTTACATCAATAAATAAGATTTTTATAATATATATTTTTATTTTTAAAATGAGTTTATTATAAATTTATAAATTTATAAATACTAGCATTTCGGCTATTCTCTGGGCTTCATTCATATAAAGTAGTCATAGTGAAAAAATACTATAACTAAATAAAATTAAATAGATAACAATGAATTTAAAGAACGACATTTAAATATGAATAAAAAATAATTGTAAAATTTGATATTAAAGTGTATGAACCAATTTTAGAAGGCATAACTTCGAGAAGAACCCCATTTAAAACTTAAACCATATTTATTTTCTCAGACGTTTTGGCATACAATTTTGTCATATATCAATATATATGAAATATCTAAATAATCTCGAAATATTTCAAAAACTTTGCCGAAACACTACTATAACTTACAGTGTTTATTAATTCATATTTTTTAATAATAAATTTCATTTCAACTATTTTTTCAAATGAATACAGACTAAAAGATGCACCGGAGGCAAATTCGAAATTTGTATTCAATTTGTATTGAAATTGTATTTAATTTATTTTTATAATTATCAAACAAAATCATATTAGAGAATAATATTTATTAATATTGTCGTTGATTCGAAAAATATTATTAAAATAATATACACATTAATTAAGGCATTTAAATCATACTTTTGAGAACTGTATTAGAGTATAAAAGCAATTATCAAGCAAGTAGATAGAAGCATTGAGAATGCATCAGAATCAAATTCAAAATTTGTATTCCATTTATATAAAAATTTGTAATCAATTTATTTTATACTAGATGACCCGACCGCCGTTGTCCTGTGCTTATGTTTACAATTCAAAAGTTCAAATATTTTTAAATAACCTACACTGATATCTACCAATTAGCTATTAATTATACTATAGTCTATACCGAAATGTACATATGACCACCCTTGTGGATCTTGAATGTACAAATGCTTTAAATAAAATGATTAGTATTTGCTTATTTGAAAAATATTATAAAACATTTGTTTCTTATAATTAGTTCTTTTATCGATATCCGAGGTTATTTGAAGAAAAAAATGATATTACACCAATGAGAGGGATGTCATCTCCCGGGAAATGGCAAAGGAGTCTAAAATTATTTTCACTTTAGATCTTGAGAGTAAGACAAACCTAATTTCAAAAGTTTTATATGAATTGGAGCACAGTAAAAAAATTCAGACCCGAAACGCTCCATTGACTTGAGTAATATTCCGTATCCGATGGCAAAATATGAAAATACTAACGTTTTTATGTCAAAAAAGGCCTGTTTTAGGGTTTTCTCGACAATTGTTCGTTTTTTTTCTCGCCGTAAGAACCATCCTTGGATTTCAACGAACATTTTAAAAAAAGAATTGGCCAAATTCGTCCAGCCGTTGTTAAGTTATGCGCTTACCAACACTTTTTTCAATTGATTTTTATATTATAGATAATTAATAAAAAATATAATATTAGAGAAAATGCTTTTGTTAATATGATCGTTGATTCGGTACATAATTAAAACATTATAAAACATATCAAATAATTATAAAATTAAAATATGTATATTCAAGCTTTTCGTTAAATATATTAAACAAAATTTAAGAATTAAAATTATTTAAATTTTTAATATTTTCAGTTAATTATCACCCTTGCAATTTAAGAGCTGTATTAAGCATAGAATAATATTCGATGTTGATTTATCCAGAAGAGTGATACTTTTTAATTATTATGTATGTTTATACAAGTTGTATCGCTAAGTTGAAAATATTTGATGCAAAATAGCTCAAAATCTTTCAAGACACGGAAATAAAAGAGTCTTATATTCATTGCAAAATATAAAAATTATACAACTACTTATAAACTATCTTTACGTACATTTTATCATTCAGATAGAGTTCTGTTCCCCCTCGTGGTTTTGCCAAATTAGTATACATATTCATCTGAAACTGTTTTTATTTTTCGACATCGCAGACGAGTTTAGCCATTTTAGCTAATTATGAATTCACAAATCGTTTTGATTATACTAAGATATGTAGAGTCCGTAAACAATTTATTCTGTTTAGAATGGACCTTGGATCCATACATCGTGGGATTAACAAATGGATCATATTGCAAAATTTCCTGGATCTCTCTAAATAAAAGAATTTCCGTAATCTCGTAACAAAAGTCATCTGCCGCCAAAAATTACGTGACTCTTAGGTAATAATTAATTTTATTTGGGACAATTGTATAATACTGCATTTGCATCTGTGATTTTTCCATTATGAGTGACTTGTGCTCGTTCTAATTGATTAAATCGCGTAATAAATATGTATATTTTGCTCTATTATGCACATCGGATTATGCCAATTAATATCGTCAATTAATAGTTGAATACACTGTAATTTCCATATTATTAGCATAAATTCTCACATAAAAATACTATACGTAGTAATAGAATTATAGTGCGTCATAAAATCTAATAATTAATCAATCATTGCACTAATAATTTACTTTTTTAATATATATTAATCATGAAATCAAAATGCATTACGCATTTTTCGAAATATGTAGGTAGGATCGATTAAAATGGAAATCAAAAAAATTGGGAAAAATTTTACATCTACAGTTTCAGGCTTTCAACAGTTTTCTGCTATTAAATGAAATTAAATTCTAAATGGTATTTTGTCACTGTTTTGAGACAAAATCAATGAGAATTTGTAATATTTATTTTTATAATTAAGAAAATTGATTAATCTTAATATTTCTTATATCGGACTAAAAAAACTACAGATACAAGAAGTGAGAAAAATTACAAAATTTTAAAATAATATTTGAAATTTTTTTTTTCATTTTTTGATTTATGTATTTGAATTTAAAACTTACTATTAAACTTAAAATAATCGGTTTATTTTTTTGTTTTGGCTAATAATATTGAAACTGATTCGTAGATATTATTTACTTCTTCATATTATGAAAAAAATCAATATTATAAAGTGTTAATGTAGTTTTGTAGTTTTTTCGCCATAAACAGAATTAAAGTCATGGGACCATGAAATTAATGTTTGAAATTTTAATAATTTGTCTAAATTATCGACATGCCATATTATCATAATAAGCGGAAATAAATATTATTATAAGATGAATTTATTGAGAACTCATTATTTTTTTTATATAATGATTGTTGGTTAGGAAAAGCATGAACATCATAATAAGTTACCAAATATGCCAAATAGACAGCATATTAATATAAAAAATATATACAAAATTACGTTTACAGTATACTTGCAACAATTGTAAATTAACTAAAGTAATTTCAAAGTTAACTAATTATATTAAGTTAATTAATTACATTCTTAACAATCGTGTATGTATACACTTAACGGAATATAAATTATAAATTATAGTTTATAATAATTTATACAAATTTTGTCTGTGAATAATATTTCATTGTTGAAATTTATTTATAGGCAAATGGAATGTTTATAGTTCAAGCTCAAGTTTTTTAAAATGTTTATCGAATTTGCTGTCGAATATATTGTTAATCAGATCTATTTGATAAAAAATAATTAATTTCATATACAATCTAATAAAAACTATTTAAAGATATAATTTCTGTTATGTATCAGCATATCACAAATTAATTTATACTACGACATATACATACCAGCATACCACATTCTATATATACTCGTATATCAATACTCATTTATTTTTAATTTCACCATATTCAGATATTATGAAATTTATTATGTGTGATATCTAAAAAAACACTAAAAAGTTTATGTAGAAAAATTAAAGTACAAAAAATAATTATGCTTAATAATTAATATCACTTGAATCACTCTGAAGATAGAAATAATGAATTGCAGTTTGAAAATTATGCCAAATAATCTAAACAAAATAATTATCTATCATTTATGCCAATTAAATCAATTTGTTCAAATTGCAAGTAACCATGACTATATTTTAGTTAATTCAATGTATACAAAAAAATAATAAAGCTCTTTTTAACTTCCCGTAGGGCAAGTTATAGTAATCGCAAAAAAATCGAAAATGAAAATTTTTATATATCTTTACGTTTCAAAGGTTTCTGAACATTTTGGCATACCTTAGAAAAAATGGATGTATGTGTGTGTGTGTGTGTATGTATGTATGTATGTATGTATGTATGTATGTACGTGTGTGTATGTATGTGCGGATACAAATTTTCGTCGACGATTTCGGGAACACGGATCAACCGATTTGAATAATTCAAACTAGCTGTAAGTGGAATTCTGTCTTAAGGCAATTAGGGCATCGTGCCTTAAGGCAAATTGCTGGAACTTCCCGTACCAATAATTATTATTTTTTTTTAAAACGATTAACATTTTTGAAAAAAAATTACTTTGAAAAAATAAGATTTTTGAGAAACTATAAATTGGACAAAAAATTAGTTTTTTTTTTTGAAAAAAAAAATTTTTTTTAAAAAAAATTTTTTTTTTTAATTTTTTTTTTTTGAAAAAATTTTTTTTTTCTTTATTTTGACATATTGTGGAAGATCTGAACTTTTTTTTCAAAGCAATCGTACTGCTTTAACTACATAGGGACAAAATATAAAGCGCGTAAGCGCCGCGTCGCTGTCTAACGCATAAGCATTGGTACGGAAACCGATAGGAATGTTAACAAATGTATACTTATTGTTAAAATCTCTATAAAATGTCTGATAATTTGATGTGCATATGTCTAATGATCATTTTTGACCGCCAAATGGCTCATTTTTTTACTTTTTCCTCTATATCTCCGAAACCGCTAGACCTACCTTTATGAAAATTTTATAGATTCTTCATCTTGTCAATACAAGTGAAATGTTTTTTGAATTATTAAAATCGGACGCTCCGTTCTCTTAAAAACTGAGTTACCGTTTTCGGAACTTTTTGCCCCGTATCTTCGGAACGGCTTGACCTGCCTTTGCCAAAAACTAATCAGCACGTCTCCTTATCAATACGGATCGAATGTTTTTTGAATTATTCAAATCGGTTGTTCCGTGTTCCCGAAATCGTCGACGAAAATTTGTATCCGCACATACATACACACACATACATACATACACACACACATACACACACACATACACACACACACACACACACACACACACATACATCCATTTTGTCTAATGTATGCCAAAATGTTCAGAAACCTCTGAAACGTAAAGATATATAAAAATTTTCATTTTCGATTTTTTTGCGATTACTATAACTAGCGGGAAGTTAATAACATTCGATTCGTATTGATAAGGAGACGTGCTGATTAGTTTTTGGCGCAGGGAGGTCTAGCCGTTCCGAAGATACGGGGCAAAAAGTGCCGAAAACGGTAACTCAGTTTTTAAGAGAACGGAGCGTCCGATTTTAATAATTCAAAAAACATTTTACTTATATTGACAAGGTGAAAAATCGATCAAATTTTGTATGTATAAAATTTATTTTAGTTTCCATTATCAAATTATAATCTGACTTTACAAAAAAAAAACAAATAAATTATCAGAATTGAAAATCTGAAAGTATACCCAATAATAAGCCTTTTTTGTCTAAATCGGATACTATTAATCGACTGATTATAGTTAATTTAGCTTTTTATTACATCTCAGATATAGCATATCTGGCAATGAGAGAAGCCATTTTCGCTTAATCTTTCGTTCTTGTGAACTTTTAGAACGGGTAAAAAGTACGAATTTGCAATTCCGTTCTTTATAATTATGTCTAGAATATAAAATTTTACCCTAAATTAAACTTTTTATACCTGAAACAATCCCGATCTCTTGGCCATCTCCTTCGATGCCGTTAGGGTGACATCGGCAATGCAGTATTGGGGCGCGATTCCTGCAGGAGCGTGCCCCGGTCTCAAAGGGGGCGACATGCATTCATCGTAATTTCCCAACTGGTAATGCGATCCGTGCAGGAGCCCCCCTGGAACCTTCGCCGATGAATCGTACACTTTAAAAAATAAGAAGATAAATCATCAAATTATTGCGAGGTTGAAATAGAAAGTAGATCGAAGGGCAATGATTGGGAATAGATACATGTGGTTTTGTTTATCTATCGGAATTGGTGATATTCAGATTTTTGTTAACTTTTAGATATTTGTTTAAATTCTTCATATCGGATAAATTTAGGATATGCGTTTAATAAGTATTACACTATCAACCACTTGCTATCATTCTGATTTTTGTTTTTTTTTAATATAGCTGTTTTTTGAAAATCTTTATCAATCTATTAACTTTAAATTAATCTATATAATTTATGTAATAACTAAACTCTTAATTAGTTGTTCATATTTATCTATTTATCGAATAAATTGTGTAAAAAATTTAAGCGAAAATTACATAGAGAATTAAATCTAATATCATTTAGATTCTTGTTATAGCTGTTTGTTGAAAATCTTTATCAGTTCATTAATGATGAATAAATTTATATAATTTGTCTAAAAAGTGAATTCTTGATTAGTTGTCCGTATTTATTTTATTTATCGAATAAATTGCCTAAAGAATAGAAGTGAACAAAATGGATAATATTACATGTAGAAAAAAAATTATTCCAAAATAGTTTATACTAATTTTGGCTCGGTGTGTGGTATATATATTTATATAATCAATAAGAGATATATAATAATTAAAAAATGTATATAATTGTCAGTAATATATAGCCTAATTTTAACGGTGATAATAAAATATAAGAAATTAACCGTCAATATATTACAAGTAAATAGTTATTATAGTGCATTGAAACCTGTTGTTTAATTTAATTTATTTATATTATTAATATTTGTGATATGTATTATCTAGACTAGATCAATCGAAGGATGATGAATACGATATGAACTACCAATAAATAATAAATTACAATAATTATAAATAGTACATAAAATCAGGCTTATGTAGCAATTAGCCTTCATATAAGTTGTAAATCTATTCCAATATACTAAAGCTAGGAAGCTGTTGTTTCAGTTTTTTTTTTAAATTAATATAACTTGGTGTCCACTGACTATATTTCTATTTACTAATGGTGAATAGTTGCTACGTTTATTTCTATACCGAATCAAGCTAAATTCATATTGCAAATATAATTCCTTAACGCAATCAATAAACTTTGATGTTAAATCATTATAAAATACATATATGAGTAGCTTAACTTTCATTTAAAAAATAATAGAATACAAAATAATAATCGGTCAAAATATAGCTGTACTGAAAGTAGAAACATAGTTACATTTCACGTATCTATTTTATTTATATTTGTATTTAATAATGTTTAAATTTTTATAAACTCATCGGCTAGTTGTTAACATACAATCGAATAATCTGAAATAAATTTATATAATACTTCTAATATATTATTTGTAAAACAAATGTGAAACTTCTATAAAAAGGATAACATTCAATGTCTACTAAAAGAGTATAGACTAATGGTTTAATAAAATCATTAAAAAATGTAAATATTTATAGGTATTTTAGTACGTTGTCAGAGCTGAACTGTTGCATGATAATTGTTAAGTGTTTCAATTTAAATTTTTAAAGACTTGAATCTGAAAAAACTATCGACAGTTACAATATTTCTTTGTAAAGTGTATATTTTACTCATTAACTGAAGTTTAAACTAAAGCAAACTTTCTTAAAAATGCTAGTAATTGTGTATTTTATACTGCCTATTCATTGGGTTTAATGCTTAAGCTTCCTTTTTAATTTCTAAAAATTTCGATTAAATTAGTTCATTTATCAAGTTTTTCTAAGAGTTAGTTATGAGCTCAAGCATTAGTTATTTTAGTATATTTGTATGAGGGTAAAAATATAGGACGATATTGTGATGCATTTTGAGCTCTATCATATTTTGATGCACATTATATTACCAGCAATTTTAGTATTTATTAATTAACTATTATTGATTCAAATGTGTAGATATCTAATTATAAGTGATATCTTTAAATTATATTCCTTATAATATCCAAAACTATCACAACTTAATTCCGATGATGACGATTGCAAACAAGTTTCTCAATATATATACGATAAATAAATTTTCCACGGATATTCCGAATAATCTGACCATGAATGATGACGTCGTAGTACTTATTTGTCGAGATTATATTATACTTCCCTGCATCTGTATCAAAGGCACGTGTTAAAATGCATTTGAATATTTATGATCATACTTCTTATATCAATTAATTGCATGCATCAATTAAGATTAATGTAATTTGTACAACATTTGCAAGGCAAGTTTAGCTGTTTTTAAACACTGGCATTATAAAGATTATTTGATTGAAAACTACTAATATTTTGTAAAATACTTTTGATGTATTGAGAATACAGTGAGATTACTTTTATGCGCCAAATATTTATTAAATAGACTAAATAAAATATTTACAAATGTTTTGTGAAATAAATGTCTTACTTTTATTTCACCATAAAATGCTACTTAAATAATATCAATTTTCAAATAATACTCGACTGGAAGTATTTATTCAAAATTATTATAACTTTGTATCACATTCTTTTCTTGTCTAAAATTAAAGAAGAATTCAAAACATTTTGAAATTTTCAATGTATTTCGAAATAAAAAATATTATTAGTTTAATTAATATATTTTAATTCACGAAACATTTTTTTTCTCGTCAAGACTAAATAAGTTGTTTATAATTGTTATGTGGAATCATTGTTTTTTGGAATAAAATAGTACTCAATTAAATGGAATTCTCATTTTCTCATTAATAATCGTTTAGAAGTATTTATTAAAATTTATTGTATAAATATTTTTATATCGCATTATATCCTAAACTTATGTTTTCATTAATAATTAAAATTTTACAAGGTGGGACAATGAAAATGATAAGCTCACAAATTTATTATTTTTATACAAATTTATGATTAAAAAAAATTAAATGTTTGAATTTTCTAATTAGAATGGTTATATTGAAGTTGATACTATATTCTTAAATTTCCAAATACAACAAAATATAATAAGTCGTAATTATTTACTTTCCGTAGAGTAATTTATTGTAATTGTCCAAAAATCGAGAATGAGATTTTTTGCATATCTTTACGCTTCAGAAGTTTCTGAACATTTTACATACCTTAGAAAAGGTTTGATGTATGTGTGTGTGCGTATGTATGTATGTGTGGATACAATTTTTCGTCGACGTTTTCGGGAGCACTGCTCAACCGATTTGAATTATTCAGAAAGCATTCGATTCTTATTGATAGGATACACTAATTTTTGGAAAAATAATGTTATATTTTTCTTTCAATATATTTCATACTTGATTACTATACAATTAAAAAAAAAGTTTTATTTCCTAGCCAAAGTTCGATCCTGAACAAGGTTATTTGTTATGTTACAAGTTATTTGTTAATTAATAGAAATTTAAAAATGCTGAAAATTTTTAATAAATGTAAATTTATGCCTTAGCAGCAAATTTTCTGTTAGTTTGTTTATTATATCTCTAACAATTACATTGTATTAGACCTTGCCAAGTTTTATTAAATAAAATCAATTAATATGAATCATTGTTACTTCATAAACAAAAATCTATCAGCGTTCTATCATCATCATTAACATGTAAATTATTTTAAAACCAAGGTATTTGCAAATCTATCTCAGAACACAACGAATTTGCATCGAATTATATTTTTATTTATATCAAAATAGGTCATGGAAATAGTTTTATATTATTTAATATCTTGCAACAATTTTATCAATATTAGAATTATGTCAAGTTAATTGTCAAGGATAATCGCATTTTAATTTACAAACGTTATAATTAGCATTTTATGAGATACTAGATAGTGTTACGTTTATTTATTTGTTATATGTCGAACAGGTTAATAACGTTCTTTGTTAGCTTTTGCTTATATTTTGAACAATTTTACAGTTGAAATTGTAAAAAAAAATCTGGTAATATCTAGGATAATAACATTTTAAATTAACGTTTTATCAGAAATTACTATCGTATTAGGTTTGTTAGTATATTTGTTATAAATAATTAATCTGGATAATAACATTCTTTGTTTATATTTAAGTTTATATTGCAAACAATTTTACTGCTGAAATGACAAAATTTTCACAGAATGCATTCGTATGAGTTTTAAATGTTGACCTATATTTAGGATATAAAATAACTAAATGTATTTTGAATTACATATTAATATAATAAATTTTCTATAAGAGATTTCGATGGAGAGATAGAATTTCATTTACTTCATAAAATAAATATATAAATTGAACAAAATATTTTTATGATATTTGGATTTCATTGGTTTTAAAAATATGAATAAAAATAAATTAAATTATTAAATTAAATTTAAAAATATGGATATTTAAATAAAATACTATAGCAATAATTAAATGTCAAAAACTACTTTAAAGAAAATTATACTTTGGAAATATTTCTATACAAAAAATAATATAAAATTCATAGATATTAATACAATGTTGTATGAATTGAATAAAAAAAATTCGTGTAATACATTCATATACTACATGAAATATACTTATTTTGCATTTAATCTAGTTTCTAAATTACTCATCTGAATTAACTAAAAAAAAGATCATATACTGACTAAAATTATGAGTGAGTGCAGAATAAAAGATATGAATAAAATAGCAAATTATTTTAGAAAATATAATAAAGAATAGTTGACACAGATTTTATCCCACAGATAAAAATGGCAGTAAAGTAAAAACTATATTTAAAAAAATAATAAAATACAAAGGCAAATAATTATATATTGGAGACTATTTTTAAATAAACGTTAAAATACTTTGGAATTTTTCATACATAGAAAATAATGAAAATTACACTAGAATTAATATAACATACAGGGTCTAAGTTAAATTAAATATTATATATAATATGTTTCAGTAAACAACAAAATACAAAGGCAATAAACTTATAATGAAAACTGTATGTAAATGAGAAGTGTAAAAATATTAAAACCATATTACTTTCATTGAGCTTTTTTTCCCAAAACCAAATTATTTTTGATTTTTTTTTTCATAATTTGTGTGTGTGTAAAAATTAAATAAATTCAAATTCTTACTTTTCAAAGCCCATACTTGTCCAGTCCTCGCCCCATTGATAGCCGATACAATTTGCTTCTTACAAATATAATTCTCAATTTTCGAAGCACCAATTTCCAAATGATACAATTCACTCACCAATTTGCTTTTAGCAAAATCACTAGCACTAATATTATTTTTGGCTAACAAGTCAATAATACGATCACTAATTACTTTATTTGCACCATCACCATTATTTTGTTTCAAAATATTTTGAAAATTGGCGCTGAGATCAGCGACAGTGATTTCCGGGTCATTTTCGGTTTCCGTGAAATTGATAGTCCTTTCGGTGGTAGGAAAATGATCGAAACTACGTCTTTTGATTTCGGGGGTGTTAATTGTTGAAGTGTCTTGGCAGTTCACAAGGGTTGTTAAATAAATAAGTAATATTATAATATTTAAATATATCAATTTATAAGGTGTCATGATTGTTCTTGTTTGCGCTGCGCGCGCTCTTTGAATACTGATGTCTTTCAATAACAAACAGAAGATATAAAATAATGTATCGGATTGGATTCGCGCGTGTTTCAAACTCGCCGGGTGGTTCAAACAACTTTTTGCATTGAAAAAAATACTAATTATACATAATATAGGTACTAACGTAATTGTCTCAGATAATTATTTAAGATGACACGATAATACGCTATTAAGTAAGTTTCCATATTTTGTCCATTTTATTGCAACAACAAGAGTTGATTTTATTATGTATTGTATTGTTCTGGAAACAATTTTGCTTATTCCCAGACTGATTTTATTTACAATATTTTATATACTAACCTAACTTATTCAATATTATTACTATATAACTATGTCAATGTTATTGCTATATAATAACTTCAAATAATTGAATCAAATCTAAATCTGCATGAATAACACCACCGTAATATAAGACTAAAAAGAAAGCATTTAATAGATCTTTAAAACACTTTAATCAATAATAAGTTGTTCTACCAAATTATCTATAATAGGTGTGTGTATGTATGTATATATGTAGTCTGTGTAAATGTATAATTTAGTACATTAATTAAAGGTGAACCACTGGGTTTTCCTTATAAAATTTTATGTTATTTGTCAAACTAACTACTCAATGTCTTTCTATTTAGACAGATTGTAATTTATAAGAAAATAAAAAAAATCTGAATGAATGAATCGATTACTACAACAAGAATTTGCATTTTCAGCAAATTTTTAGCTTTCTTTTCTTATTATGCAAACTTAATAATTATTTAATATTATGAACATTTAATATCTCTCTCAAGTGTTTATATTGATCGAAGACTTTTATCTGTGCTTATCTACAAGAAAATACAAAAACTAATAATTTCTTCAGTCGATACAAACAATGTTTTTTGAATCACTCTAATCGGATGCGCCTTTTTCTATAAATTTATATTCTTTGCACTTTTTGTAATTTACAAAAATGTAATTAATTGTTCACGAAATCAATACGAATTCAATGTTTTTTAATCATTCTGATCGGATGTTCCCTTCTCTTAAAATGTGTCTTTTTTGCACTTTTGCTCCGTATCTCTGAAAACGCTCGATCTGCTTTCGCAAAAATTAATTAGCACGTCTTCTTATCAATACAAATAGAATAGTTTTCGAATCATTCAAATTGGTTGATCAGTGCTGTAGAGATTGTGGATGAAAAATTGTAACCAAACATACGCATACATATATCAATATTTTCTTAGGTATGCCAAAATGTTCAGAAAGTCTTGAAACTTGTTGTAAGTGTCATATTGCCTTGTGGCAATTGCATAAACTTCCCGATATGTGTAAATAATCGTTTCAATCAACAATATTTTTATATGATCGACCTGCCTGTGTACCTGTCTGCCTCTCAACTTATTTTCTAGCTCATCTATCTATCAATTTAACAGTCTAACAGTCTATCTGTCTACATATCCCTGTTTCTACTTTTTCACCTGACTACCTGTCACCTCTTTAACTGTCTAGCTGTCTACCTGTCTATCTGTGTGAAAGTTTTAAGTGGCAACCTGCTTACCTGTCTACTTTTCTTCTTTTTACCTGTTTACCTGTCTACCTGTATGTCTGTATACCTGTCAACCTGTCTACCTGCCTGCCAATGACTCTATTGTATATGAATTAATAATAATAATTTGTAAAGATGATATTTGATCAACAAATGTCATTTTTGCACAAAAAATCTTGCGTCTCTAAAATTGCTAGGCATGCCTTGGCAAAAATGTAATAGATTCTTTGTTCCATCATCACAAGTGAATGATTTTTTGGACAATTCTAATCGGATGCTCCGTTCCTCAACTATCATTTTTTGCTCTTTCTACCCCGTATCTTGAATCGCCTGAACCTGTCTTTGCAAAAAGCTAACCAGCAGGTCTCGCCGTCAACACGAATCAAATGTCTTTTGGATCAATATAACCGGATACCTCGTTTTCGCAAAAACTGAATTTCATTTTCTGCTTTTTCGATCCTTGTCTCCTAAACGGCTTGAACTGCCTTTGCCAAAAGCTAATTAGCACGTCTCCTGAAACGCACAAAACACACACACATATCCATTTTTCTAAGGTACGCCAAAATATTTAGAAAACGCTCAGGAGTATTCCAGTTTATTTTGTAAACTTACAAATACTTATTTATTACAAATACACTTATATATCGAGATGTAAAAAATATTAGGAAAATGTTTCAATTGTTTAACAATTATTTTTAATCATAATTATGATTTAATTATGATAAAATCGCCATAAATATTGATTCAAGTCATTAGTTATTATCTTTATTGACAATATATTAATAAAATGTGTGTAAATAGTTTGTTTGCAGAAGACACTCCTAAGTTCTCGCCTTAACCTGAACAAAAGCCATTCATAGTTCGCGCATATTAATATTTGCCATCCTTCTATTTATTTATTTATGTCCAATAATATGTATATTTTATTTTAATTTAGAAACAAGTATGTAATATAATTTTTGTATGCAAACCAGCTTCATTTATAACGAGTTACGCGTTTGAAATGTAGCCAAATTGGGCTTTCTATATTGCATTTGTTTACGTCATGCAACCTTCGTTTCAATGCTTGGGATTGATTTATTTTCTTATATGGGATTTTATTTGAACAAAATTGTAAGGTAAAAATCTAATGCTATGAATGAACTAGTTCACTTAGGATTTTGGACTCAAAAATAAACGATCAATTGATCACCTTTTGTATTTGGAATATTGCTGTCGAAGTTTTTATTTTCGGTAAGAGTATTGCCAATTTAAAATTATTTCAACTTTCCATAGGGTTATAGCAATCGTAAAAACATGGAAAATGAAAATGTTTAAATATCTTTACATTTCAGACATTTCTTAATATTTTGGCAAACCTTAGAAAAAATGAATGTATTTGTGTGCGGACACAAACTTTTGTCGACGATTTCGGGAACACGGATCAACCGATTTGGATAATTCAAAAACTAGTGGTGCATGGGATCGCTTTAAGGTAAATTGCTGGAAATTTTTGTACCAAAAATTAAAATTTCTGAAAAACCTTTAATTTTTTTGAAAACGAGAATTTTGAAATTTTTGAAATATTTTGAATTTTTTAAAATTTGAATTTTTTTTAATTTTAAAATTAATTTTTATACTTTAATTTTATCTTAAAATTTTAAGCTTTTTTCAAAGCAATCGTGCTACTTAGCTGTTTTAAAGAAATAATTGCAAAGCGCGTTAACGGATAAACGTTGGTACGGAACCCATAGAAATATAAACAAAACTCACACTTATTATTGAAATCTTCAAAAAGGTTAGACCTGCCTTCGTCAAAAACTAATCAGCACGTTTCCTTAGCAAAACGAATCGAATGTTTTTTAATTATTAAAATCAGTTGATTCCTGTTCTTGAAATCGTCAGCGAAAATTTTTATCCGCACACACACCCACACGCACACACACATACACACACACTAAGGTATGTCAAAATGTTCAGAAACCTCTGAAACGTGAAGATATATAAAAAATTTCATATATGATTTTTTTGCGATTACTATAACTTACCCTAAGGCAAGTTAAAATTTTGATTCGTATTTATTGGGAGACGTGCTGATTAGCTTTTACAAAGGCAAATCCGACCGTTTCGAAAATATTATAAAATAGCTTCTCTTTATTATAAAATATTTTATATGCATTTATCATGTATTCATTGAAGTCTTTCATGATGCGTTCAACTCTGCTCTTAACTATATTGTTAGAATGCTTAAATTTATTTAGACTTAATTTATTATAAATTTATATTAATTTAATAGCCATCATTAAAAGATAATAAGATATTTGTACGCGCAATGCAATATAAAAATTATTGATAATATCTGCTACTTCTTATTTGCAAGTTTATTACATAAATAATTTATTCATTTATTATGATAATTTCCAATAAATAAAACGGTTCTAATTAATATCAATAATAGAGAATAAAAATGATTGATATGCGTTGCTTCGACTACTATATTGTTATAGTAAACATATGTAATGATTGATATTACTTATAAAAGATATAAATATTCAATTTATAAAATACGATTTTAATTGATGTCACGAGATTCTATATTATTTAAATCAAATTATGTTTATATGAATTATGTAGCACAATACGATGGTGGTTTCAAGATAATTTTTTTCATTAGGATTTCTGTTGTTCATAAACTATTCCATTGCTCTGGGTTTTAAATAATGCGTGCTATAACGTGTTTTTCATTATATTTAGCATATAATTTGTTGCTTTTATATGCATTTGTTTATTATCTGTTTCCTGATTCTTGATCTAATTGTCCAGTGGGAAAATTTACGTAAGCAATTTCTTGTCTTATCAAATGAAATATATAAATTATATTATATATTATATATAATATATTGAATGAATAGTAAAATAAAAAATATTATTAAAACTGTATATAGAATATATTATTTTGAGGAGGGGAACGTATTTCATTTATTAAATTATTTAAAATTTACTTTCTCTATTGATTACTTTGTTTGAAGTGTTCTATCATATAAAAAACAGTCAAAAGCCTAACAAAAATTATCAATGAAAAATATTCACTCTCCAATATTTAGACTATCTAGTACCTACATCTATTCTAGATCTTATCTATTCTAGATAAATGACTATTTATTCAAAGCCATATGTTTAATATTGATTTTAATGAATACACTTAGCAAATCAATTTTTTCTTAAGAATTAAACTTGGTATGTAGATGTTTAAGCAATCATAATTTATATATTTATCGATGCTGTGAAAAACGAGTTTTTTTACAAAATTCATTGAATCATTTATAATGTTTTTATCTAGTTCATCTAAAAGTATTGAAGTAACTAAAAAGTTTTAGAAGAGAACTTTTTGCAAGAACAGAACTTGAAACTTATCAAAACCTTTGGGGTTGACTCTTGAATGAGCAGTATATTTAGAATAAATTCATTATATGTACTTTCTAAATAATTAATTTATGGAAAAAAAAATTTAATCAACCATAAGTCTTAAGATAATTTCTAATTTTGAGAAGAAAACAAAAAAAGAACTTACTTAGGTATAGTTACCATAAAATTTTCAAGGCAAATATAAAGAAGATCAAAATCACTTGCGATTAAGTCTCAAAACTCTTCATATGAATATGATTCTCCAATATATTTAACTTCAGATCTTTACACGATTACTCTATATTGAAAGTAATCTTTTATTAATATTACTTCATTTCGGCAAAAGAACTTACTTACTACTAGAACCTAAGACTAATCTGGAGAAGATCAGAATCACTTCAGAATAAGTTCCAAACTCCTCAAGTGTATGATTGTCTTCTGGATAAATTTATTATCAGATCTTTACTGTATTAATCTATAGTAAAAGTAATCTCTAATCAATATAAGGTCTCAAGATCATTTCTAAATTGGGGCAGAACAGCAAAAACTTGTTTTAAATATAGTTACTGCGCTTGACACGAATACTACCAACTATTTTAATGCGTTCAAGAACGAAGTGCAGATTAGTTATAATTTTAAAATTCTTGTAGATTAATGAAAGTATGTAATTGTTAACTATGATAACATGACCACTATCTTAACCCATGGCCATACCGATGTGTGTTCTACCTACTGAACTATATCTATTTTTTAAATATTCTGCAGCATGTTTTTTAATAGAAATATATTTATAATACAGCGACTTCTGGTCTAAATAAAAAAATACTACTCAAATAAATTTTTCCATATCTACAAAAGTTTGGGATAGGGCTATCAACTGTATCTTGAAAGTTTTTGTCGATCTATT